AAAGGAATCATACCACAGCAATGTATGTGGACCCATGTTCATAGTGGCACAGTTTATCATAGCTAAAGCTTGGAAGGAGCCCTAGTGTCCATCAATTGGAAACTGGATAAAGAAGATGTGGGTTTTTTTTTTTATAAAATGGAGTACTACTCAGCCATAAAGAATGAAAAACTAGAGTCATTTATTGCTAAATGGATGCATATAGAGGCCATACTTTTAAATGAAATAAACAGGACACACATGTGTAAATACTGAATAGTTTCACTAGTGTGAGAAACTGATAGTGTAAACAAGAGGTAAAATGATTAAAATGAATATTGGATAATTTGAAATAGGAAAAAAGGTCCAAAGATGAAGGGGTCAAGGGAGGGGAAGGGGAAAAGAAAGGTGGGAAAGGAAAAACTATGAGAATAGGAAAAAAAATGGAAATGATGCCTGTGTAAATAGGGCAGGGTGGAGGGGGTGAAGGGCGCACAGGTAATGGGGAAAAAAATAAGAACCAAGATACATCATGTACGGGTACAGGCACCCAATGATAAATGTAAACGAATTGCATACTTAAAACGTACCAATAAAAGAACTTAGAAAAAAAGATAATTTTCCTAAGCATTCAAATTGATTAAATCAGATGAAATAATTCTTTTGGTGGTTTTACTTGCATAACTCATATAAAATATTTTATATTTTATTTTCTCCTTAATAGAACGATACTAAATTTCATCAAGAATTGAATAAAATAATCAACTTGAAGTCATCTTATAGAATTATAAACTATATAAAAATTATTTTTTTCCACAATTGTCAAAATTTAGATTTAATTATGATTTTGGAAATGCTGTCTAAATTTTTGGGTCAAGTGATTTTTGGTCACTATTCAAGTGATTATGAACTTAGACACATTCTTAGAAATTCCCCTAGACTACTTCAAAAACTTTGAAAGCCTTTTTATGCATGAATAATACATCTTGGTTTATACTAATTAAAATATTGGATCTATTACTGAGTTACAGTTTCTCATTTATAAAAGACCAGAGTAGTAGAAAAAGAATAACTTATCATAAATATTAAACTGCCTAAAATGTCATATACTTCACCTAACAATTAGCCTAAAGCAGTTATTTTCAAAAGGGCAAATAATCTCTGGTACTAAAAATAACACATTTTTCCTAAATAAAAGTGCCTATAAACTTAGCTTAATGAAGAATGAAAATGAATATGCTGTCACTTCTGAAAAAAATTAAAATCCTTTTATTACAGTTTTAACTTTTCTTTCCTTTCTTCTTTCTTCGTATGAGTACTGAGGACTGAATCGAGGTACCTCAAACATGTTAAACGTGATCCCCAACCACAAAACTCCCAAATGTTATCATTTATTCTTAACATCCTTTTAGCTCCGAGATATATTATTCAGGCACAAAAATAAATTATTTTGCCACGTGGTTTCCTTGCCCACTATAATTTGATAATCAATAGTGAACTTTAATATTCTTAAAATCACTTATTTTGTAGAACACATTTGGAAAAATTGTCGAAAGATTCTAAGACTTCTGTACATATGTAAAGTGTATCTAATATAATATTTCTATGCGCTAATATACTGATATACAGTAGCCAGTCTTTTGTGTGTCTTTTGATCAATGTATATTAATTTGACAGATTATTGAGGTTCATTTTGGCAGATTCATTTATACATACAGCATACTTTGATCACTTTCAGTCCCTTTCCCTCTCTCCTGTCCTTTTTTCTCATTATTTTTGGCTCTCTGGGTCTGAAACAACATCACTAGATCCTTATTCATAGTTTTTACACATAGGAAATATATCACTGAGCTATGTAAAGCATGTTTCTTCAGATTTTCTTTTGGAAAGACAGAGGTTATTTGCTTCCTTTCTCCAGGTTGGCCTCCTTAGAAAACATCAGACACCCTTAGGTGATCAACTGACTTATCCAATCTCAGTTATAATAATAAAAGGATCTTAAGGTAAAATGTGACTTATTTGTGTCACATATTTGCATTTATTATTCTAGTAAGTATCCAACTTACCTCATACACTCAGAAATCTTTCCTGAAGCATTTTTTAGAAACTGACAGATGTCAATAGTTTTCATTGGAAAACACACTCTGAAAAGAATATATAAAAGCTCATTTCTTGGAGTCTATCTAGGTCTTGATAGTCTATATCATTAAATAAAATTGTGCACCTTTTATTGTTAAAAGTACAGAAAAATATTATTCATAAATTCTGATATAAACATACAATATTATCCAAATAGTTAAGTAACAATTGAAATAAAAATTAGTAAAACAATATTTTAAGTATTTGGCAGTATCCTCTAAATCAAGGCAAAGATAAGGTTAGTGGCAGTGTTCACGTTTTCTTATAAATTGAAGACTTAGTTGTGCCACAAAATATTAATATTTACCTTCTTAAACAGGTTAATGCTTTTTTAACATTATAATAACTCAGGACAAAGAAAACACACAATAGAGTTTGTATAAAGGAAAGAACAAATTTTCCTAACTTTTAATCTCAGTTTTGAATTTCATTGATTTAGAAAGAATACATAAATAAATAACATATCCCATTTTTAGAATATAGCATACCATTGATTTCAAAGATTGTGTTCAAAGATAGAAGGGAGATCAGAAAGATTTCCTCTTTTCTTCTTACCATCAAAAACACACACAAATGCAAACACATAAAAATGTACTTGAATTTTTCCATAAACATGTATAATAAACCATCATTCATTTCTCTTCATAGTGAGCCACCTTGCTTTTGCTGCCCATATAAAAATGAAAAGTATGTGCCAATCTCAGAACGTACTAAAAAGCTAAAGTCTTCAGACTACAGTCATACTTTGGTAAATGGCTGCTTTGAGACTGGTCAAAGTTGGTACTCAAAGACCTTTGAAGCAAAAATTTTGTTCTCAAATATATCATTTGTTTGGGACTCAGCCCTCAAGTTAGAATGTGTGGTTGTTGATTATCTAGGGACTTGCTACCCTTTCCAATAAAAAAAAAATTCATTTATGTTCATCATTTTTGGTATTTGCCATGCCTTCCAGAACCAGTTAACAAGTATGAAGGTACCACTGTAGACAAAGGTGTTCTGAATTGGTGTATGGAAAGGCAGAAGCACAATTGTCCAATCCCCCCCGAGTAAAAATTTAGTTGTTTGTTTACTATTAGGATTTATATCACACAAAGCATCAATTAGGAGACTCCAAAATTGGATAATATGCTTTTTGATACCAAAATGCTAGGTATTTCTAAATAACATAGTTTTTTTTTTTTTTTTTTTTTTGCTGACTTACAAAGCAAAATAAGAATAGAAAACTAAAGGGAAGAGCAATCTCCATACAAGGCAAAGAGCTGTGTCTGGTTATCAGAATAGCTGACTTCTCTGGCTTTGTTAAGAAACACCTCCCTTAATATAGAAAAATCAACAAATGTGGGTGGTTTTTATTGTCTTCCTTATAAAATAAGCCACTTATACTCCCAAAATGTTTATGATGAATTACAATAATTTCAATCACAAGAATTTTAATAAAAAACATATAAAATCAATTTCAAAAGTTTTCTGCATATACTAAAAATATGTAAATGAATGACCTAATTATACACCTTCTCTAATGTTTTCTATCAAATGCATGTACGTAATGCAATCTAAAAATATTGAATCTATCTCTTTTTTTGGAAAAGGGAAACTAAAAAAGACTTCTTCCCACAGAAAATTTATTAACAATAAATGGTCAGTTAAATGTTTTTAAGCAAAGAACAGTGTTCCACTTCATATAAATAATCAGTGGAAAGATAAATATTCTTCTTTTTTCATTTCCATATCCCTACTTACACATAAAATCATGTTGTAAAAACACTACTTCACAGTTGATGTACAGAAATCAATGAAAATCTAACTTTGAAAAACACATCAGACTATAGTTCTACACAACTGCATATTCACACAGGTGATTGAAAAAAGCTATCTGATGATATAATGAATTATTATTCTTGAGCAAATCTATACAGTTGGCAACTAGTTTTCAAGAATCACAAACAACCAATATTTTTTTTCCTTTTAAGTCTTTCATGTTACACTTTGACAACCATTTAAAATTGTGAAGCTAAGAATATTTAAAAATATAAAATGAAAGTAGCATTAACCATGGAATGATATTCAACTTCATAAATGAAAATGAACACAAGTGTGTCTTAGAGTAAAATTGTTTTGACAATGTGAAAATCAAAACTGCCAAGATGAATCACTTTTCTTTTAACATATCATATCCATTGCTTTCCCTCTAGAAGACAAAAGCAACAAAAAAGGAAAATAGCTAAAACACAAAAACATAAACAAAAGAGAAAGAAAGAAACAGGAAGACCTGGTTCAGAAATTGAATATTCTGATTTAATTGGCTAAGAAGTCCAAATGCTAATACTCCTAATAATCAGCCATTCCTTTTGTGTTTTAGTCACACATATCCTAATACAATATACATCAAATGGAATTTTTTGATTAACTTCTGACATTTCAAAGTTTCCATTTTTGAATTCCCCTAGTCTTAAGTAAGTATCGCATTCTCTCATTTGTTTACTAATTTTTTTCCCAACATCTAGGACTCCATAATGCAAAATATCATTTTGCCGATCTTCTGTTCCAGTATTCACTTTAATTTTTTTTATTATAATTGGGTTTTCAAAGACAATAAGAAAGACATCTCCTTTGGAAGGTGGTTTTCCCCAAAAGTACTCATCAACGCTGCTGTAAGCTTTGCTTGCTTCATAATTTTCAAACACATTCATATTGGTGTACAGACTTGCAGGGGGGTTATCGGGGATGTCAAATGACTCCTCTTCAAAATCATCATCCTTTAGCTTATTCTCAGTTCCTTTATATGAGGAGTAATAACCCATGTGCTGGAAGAGAGATGGTTTAAATCGGATCACATTTTTCTGAGCCAACAGACCCCGGAAATGGGTCAATAGCCAATCACAAGGCATTTCTTGATAAAACATTAGTAAAAAATGTGCCAATCGTGGGAGATCATGGGAATGATAGAGTTTACCAATGTAGCCAAGTTTAGAGAACTCAAGAGTTACCCAGTAAGTTCCTTCTAAAGATGCAATAACCTTCTTGATGGCAGTTAAGAAATTTTTGGAACATCGGACATCGTCTTCAAGCATCACATAATAGTCTGAAGTGTTGGCACAGAAATTAAGCAGAAAAGCGTAATCTACATTTTGCTTGGAACGAAATTTGACTCTATCTTCTGGATCATTGTAATTTCTTTTAAGACCATCCAAGATTGGGTAATATTCCTCTGGAGCGTGTATCACCATTAATCTTCCTGCAATAATATGATGGGCAAATTTCTGTGTAATATCCTGCACCATGATATCACGCCAGGATGAATTAAAGTCTGCTAAATGAACCACTACTGAAATTTCCTTCAGTTCTTCATAGCTGGACTGCTCAAAAATTGATTTGATTGTCTCAAGTAAATAGTTTCCTTTCCTTCGCTTCACTGATGAAAGTCCAATAGTAAGATATCCTTAAAAAAACATTCAGAAGGAAGACACATTAAATGTGAGAGTTTTTTGAGTAACAGAAGAAAAAAGATTCTTTTCCTGTGGTTCTGCTATTGCATTAAATAAATGTAATGAATGATTATCTCTGAAAAGTCTATGAATAAAGTATTAAGCTAAATATAAAGCCTATTGTAGTTTATACATAATTGATATTTTCTATCAAAAATAATTGCACGTTAAGCATCATGTATGTGTCCCATAGCTGTGATGCAAAAAAAACCTGTTTAAAGTATTCTGGATCTTAATGTTTTCCTACATATCCATTGGAGAAAAGAGATAGGTGTGAGATAATATGAAAGTTATTTTTTTTTAAATCTACAAAGGAGGAAGGAATTTCCACTTCAGGTTGACAAACTAGTCTCAAATAATGAAAAAGAAAACTGCATTAATAATTTATTCTTTTAATTACATTTAAATTTCTCAAAGAACACATCACATATTTTCATGTTTCTTTAATTATTGTTGTTATCTTGTACTAGAAGAATTCATAATTGGACTTTTACAATTTTAGTTAGAAATTTATCTTTCATATAAATGAAAATATAAACCATATCATAAGATCAATAATGAAAAACACCTTATTGCTCAAATGTATTGTATGTTATCCTAAGACAGGAATATTACTTTAAAAAATTTAAACAAATTGTATAGTAATTTTATCTGGGAAAAATTTCATTCAGACGTGTAAAATCTAAAAGATTTTTAATGGATCTTTTCAGAGAAAAATAAAACTGAGAAGACATTTCACCTCTGAAGAATGTTTCACATCTTTCTGTTGATACATTTTCACATTTTAAAGCTCTCATTCTCATGTGAATCAGAATTGAATAAAAATTATAAACCACCACTTGGAAAGTGAAGAAATGTTTATATATATATCATATTGATTGATTTAATATAGACACCTACATGATATAAATAATACTGAAAAAGCTTTTTCTAAGAAAAATCTTTCTTACTTATCTAAGTTGATATTTACATATTGTATCTAGGCTAGGAACTCTGACTTCTGTTAAAAACTCAAATATTTTATTTGCAACCATTATACACCTTTAAGCCATCGTATTTCATTAATATTCAATAATGGCCAACACCTATGAAAGACTTTGTACACAACAGGAGAAAGAGTATGCAATTTTATCTGTTATATACATCTGCAATATTCATAGTACTCTTTTGGGACAGGTTAGCTGGCATCATTCCGCTTTACACATGAAGAAAACAAGTCCTAAGGTAATGAGGAAACTTGTGCGAATGTTCTCACCTGAGGCCAGTAGTGTGGTACCAAGGTGCAAAGTGCCCCGCTCTCATCCTCTGTGTGGTAAGATCTCTTTATTATAAGGTGATGGTGTTTGTGCCAACAGATGTTAGTAAATTTAGCACAGAGGGGAATCAGTGATGATTTAACAAAGGGCATGTAAAAGTGGTTTAACCCATTGAGATAAAAACTGTGGCTGCCTTATGCAAATGAAATGAACCCTAAGAACACTAAACATTTGAAGTAGAATAAAAGGAAAAGAACTCTAAAGAATCCTAAATCAATTTAGGAATTTCCTCAACTTGGTGATCACAACTGCCTGGCATAAATACTTTTTGAAAGGGAAACTCAGTTTTTATGTGTTCCCCATAATTTATTAAAAACTTTATGATGTCACTGAATCCAATTTATTTGTTTACCTATTTTTATTAGTACATGTTTAGAGTACGTGTAGTTTACAATCATCTTGAGTAGAATCTAATTAATGGTAAGATTTGTATTTTTCACACTGAAACATTTGAAAATAACTTGCATATTTCAATATATGATGTCTTACATTTAAAACTGGTAATTCTATATTCTTAGTGGTTTATAAGATATTACTACCTTAATAAGCAATAGTGTCTTAGGATGCATGAACTATAGTATTTTAACTTCTTGGTTTCATTTAGAAAAAATGAATATACTGTGTTAAATAGTCATGTCTGTCTAGAAACTAAGAATGTGACCTTTTAGAAAGTATAGTATTTGCAGATGTAATTAGTTAAAGGTCTGTACAAGAAATATTTCTAGATTTAGGACTACGCTCTAAATCCAATTAATAAGGCCTTCTTAGAGGAGAAGACACAAAGAGACAAAGGGAAGGAGGCCTTTGATGATAGAGACAGGTACTGAATTCATGCTGCCACAAGCCAAAGAATATCTCAGGACACCAGAAGATAGAAGTGGCAGGATCTGAGAAAGAATTATAAATCACACACACACACACACACACACACACACACACCCGAGTTGAAATGAAGTCATACAATTTTTTAGCCTGGGGCAATATGGCGCATGAAGCCACAGTCACTTAAGTCATTCTGACCCAACATGGCAAGTTTCGGAAGACCTTCTGACACCACAAAGATAATAACACCACTAAAATTCTTTTCATTCTTACTGCAATTGTTGCTTCAAATATATAACATAATTGATTGACTGCCAATCAGTGTTCTGTGTAATTTTTGTCAACTAATATACTTGTTACAACTGATTTGATATAACTTTCATCTTTGTTCTTTTTTGTTTGAAAATTCAAAGCCCTCCAAACACTTCAGGGATTGCAAATTCTAGGAGCTATAATTTGTCTCTCCTCATATCAGAAAATCATCCTCATATCAGCTTTAAATACTCTTTGTTCAACATCCACTGTGCCTCAACTTGCATTTTAGGGTGACAGATTCTAGTTTAGAACATTCTGAGGAAGTATAGAACTGCCAGTACTTTGCTGGGTCCTTGCCTCCAGAACCACGAGAAAATATATTGTTTTCTGGTTTTGTTATTAGCTACCTGCTCTGCAATAATTATTACAGCACTTGGAAAAAGTAATACACTTTGTAGCACTAATTCAAAACCGGCGATATGTCATAAAATCAAATCTTGAAAAGTTGAGAAGATAAAAATGCAGAAATATTTTTGACAGTTAACATAAATTTTGAAGTAAATCAATTTTTCTTGTCTCCTTTACTGTCCTGCAGAAAATGGATAAATGTCCAATAAAAATTAGGTACTTAGATACTTTCATCATTAATGGAATTTGGTTAGTATTTGTAATCTGTGAAGAAGCACTGAAGCTCTTCCTAATGTACGTATTATATTAATGAATCTTAATTTTTTACTGCTATACAAATGAAACCAATTGTCATTATTGTCACACAATGTGTCCATGCATTCTTTCTTTAAAAGGTTAAAGATACTTACGCTTTCTTTGTAAAGGTGTGGCAGCTAGATAGCGATAAGTGACATTTATGGCTCCTGAAAAATTAGATAAATCTTTGAAAGTATGAACATAGCGTTCAGAATTTAGTTGATGCGTAGATGTTTCCCTTATTAGTTGTTTGTCACCCTCCTAAATGTGAAGAACAGAGAAAACAAATAACCAATAGATGTTCATGAATAATTCTTCTTCTTACATAATGAAGATATAGTTAACATAATTGGAAGCACTGTATAAATCTATTTCTGGTCCCAAAATTTGAAGATTATAACCACTCACTTGATTTTCTCCCTGGAGCCCCTGTGCTAAGTTCTTTTTTTCCTTTATTCAATTCTTTAAAAAAAGATTTATTCATATGTGTTAATATTACATGATGACAGGATTTATTTTGAAAAGTTAGTATATGAATTTAACATATTTTAGTCAATTTCAAATCTACCACGTTCCTGTTCCTTTTCTTCTCCATCCAGGTCATCCTGTTATCCAGAAGTCCAGCTCCTGTTTTGCTTTCCTTTCTCCTTTATTTTAATTCTTTATTAATTTATGTAGTTTTTATGTTCCTTATAGACCATTCTTTATATTATAGATCATTTGCTTTTCTTTAGTATACATGAATCTTGTTATTTTCTTCATAAATAAATCTATGTATAAAAATTTCCTTAGTGTTCAGGTTAAAATTCATTTTTTTTGCCATAGCTAAGAATCTTAAAGTGTGATGTTAATCTCTGTCAGAGTTTCCTCTGAGGCTAGTTTCTGTCAAATTCCCCCTATTCCACTTGCATTAATCCTTTCACTCTTCCTCAAGCACTGTCAAATAAAAGAACATAAACTATTTCTGTGATTGTGAAACATTAAAAATCATTACAAAGTTGCATCAGTGCAAACACTCATTGGATCTTGGCTAATTTTTTAAATTAAGAACTTTTAATAAAGCACTTATATGTTGACTGCAATTGAAAGCTGTTGTGCATGGACAACCACTGTCCTTGTTACACAGCGGTATTATTTTTGTGAAATATCCTCCAATAACTTCAAAGAAGATACATTTGTATCAAGTCAAGAAGATGTGCTCAGTGGTTGCTTGTGTGTGTGTGCATGTGTCTGTGTGTGTGTGTGTGTAAGTGCACTTGTGTTTTTATATATGCTTCCACTGCAGGTGAAGTCTGCATCATTTGAAATTTAATATTTTTTAATCCATATGATAGTGGTTTTCTCATGCCATCTCATTTTCAAGAAGGCTTATATTTAATAAAAAACATCTTGTTAGTCATTAATCTCTTGCATTTTAAAACATTTTTGATATAATTTCAATGGTAGAATTTTATTATCCAATCGTTGATCGATCAAGCCTTTATTTGTTATACATTATAGCAAAATGATGATGTGTTTGGCTTATGTATATGGGTTATTACTCTTTGGGGGGCATAATTAGGAATAATTTATTTTGGGGGTCTTTTTGGTAAGGTGTGCACTTTCCCATATGTTATTACTTTGATCTATTTCTTACTACATAGTATCAGATGCAATGCCAGTCATTAGGACCAAAGAAAATGTATAAGCATTACATAATATTGGTCTTGATATTATTTGTTTACTGTCAATAAATAATTAATTAAACTTCTGTTCTAAAAGATTGGATATGACTTATACATTTTACCACCATTGAAATATTCAGTACTTTCAAAAAGATTATTAAGTCTAGCTTTAAATCTACAGCCAGACTAGAATATTCTTAGAATAAAAACTGAAAATAATAGAGCATGACTGGACATTTATAAAATTTCAGTATGGTTATTAAATGAAGATTCATTCTGAATATCATTTCATATAACAAATTATGCTTGTAAACCTATATTTTTGTTTATTTATGCATTCCTATACTTTATGTTACCCTAATAATCTGGGAGAAGAAAAATACTCTAGTATTTTATAAGGTTTGTAATTATTTAACATCTGCATGAGCTGTAGACTTTCAAAATAACTGAAGTTAAACCTTACATACTGAATTTTTTGTATACCAATTGAATATTCACTAAGGTCTTTATACATAAGCATTTTGATCTGTTTCTATCAACAAACCTATAAAAATCATGAAAGTTTTATAACAAACAAATTTAGCATTGCCAGAAAGTAAGGAGATACCAGTTATCATCGACTCCTTTAATAGTAATGCAGCAGTGTACATAATTAATAGAATCTAGAAGAAATTTCTGTAAAAATCACTGTAGTCCTGATGATAAAGAATTTATTTTACCATTCTATTCTTATGCATTGTTGCTTAAAGAAGCTGCAGGATATTGAATATCTCTTTAAGATTTCTGTCCTGAACATGTAAAAATTTAGGCCTTTTTTGTGACAAGATTGAATACATTCAGCCTGATTGAAGGACATAATAGAATATAAAATGAAATGTAACTGATATAAAAGTACTTTATTAAATTCTCAAGAACAAGCTTCTTTACACTTTCCAGCATAAATAAATAATGCAACTTTCACCTAAGTCAGCTTCATTGATTGCTTTCTGAGGCATCCAACTGAACAGCTAGTCTCTCCCTGGGTACCTTCTTTTTGTAGCTACTACACTATATTGTGTTTCTCAGTAATAAGACAAAGCTTTATGGCAATCATTTTCTGGATGGGAATGCAATTCAATGGACTAGCTACAGACTAAATATATACCCTAGTGGCTACTTTGAGGAAACTCACAGCCAAGAGGCTAAGTTGATTGGGCATGCAGTGTCTCCTCCACTTAGTTTGCCTTGTAATGGTGTCTGTCTCTTGTACTGGGCTCAGCTTCCTTCCCACTGAAAGCAACATCTGTCTCTAATACATAAGTAAATGCACTAAACCGCTAATACCCCTAGGATTTCAGGCCACAAATGGGTTTTCTAGCAAAACCAGCAGAATAGAATGTGACGTAAATCCAAAGACTTCACTACTTCTCTCACTGTTGATCCGATTTCTTTGCATTGTAAATATTACCTCCTAGTAAAAAAAGGCAAATCTACTAAAATGAATACTTGAAAAATTGTGTACATGGTGGCTTTTGAGGGGAGAGATAGAAATTAAAGTCAGAAAAGGTTATAAAAACAGATAAAAGGATGAGGGAAAATGTTTAAAAATTACATTATATTCTATTAAGGAGCCATATTAAACATTTTAGAAGATTAATTTTGATGAAATGTAATATTGATTATTTAAAGAATATTTCAAATCTTTATACACATTAAGCCTTGGGATAAAACTCAGCTCACAGTGAAATTTAATACAAATCATTTAGCAAATAATGAAAATTTAAATAACAAAAATACTGCCTATCATTGAATTCACAATGAGAGGGATGCTTATAGTTAACCACTTTAACTCACTTTTTCCATCTTAATACAATTTTTTTTAAAATTTAAAAATGTATAACTTTATTATCATTCACTAAACACACACACACATACAAAAATTAAAATTATTCAAAGAAAATCAATGCAAGGGAAAGAAACTATAATAATATTCCAATATAATAGAACTCAACCAAATCAAAACAGAAAAGTACTTAAATTGCAAATATTTAAAAAAAATCCTTTTTTTAAACCAGAGAAACAATTTCTTCTCTGTACCAAGAATGGTTTGCAAATTAGATATATATCTACTATTGAGTGAGAAATTTAAGTGAGAAAGTATTCTTTAATAGAGGAACTACTTCCTTAAAATACATTTGCTTTACATTAGGTAAATAAGATCAGTGCTTAGATATGACTTTGTAAAAATTAACAAAATGGAGCAATAACATTTTATTTTCCTATGAATAGATGCTCCAATTCTTACACATTTTATAGTGAATTTAAAAGAGTTCTGTACAAAAAGACATAAGGTATTACAAGGTACAATGGTTTTGGGTTCTGTCGATAGTGAAACATTAAAATTGTACTTGAAACTTTCTCATAAATGTATAGAGTCACTCAATAAAGGAGTCTTCCAGTGAATGGTATTTTCTTGCTTTACAAATTTTGCTTTATATCTGCCAGTAGACAGGTGCAAGAAATAAATTTTTCTTTAATAACTGAATTATTATTATGTGATTCCCTAGTTAATTTATTATTCTAAATTCTATTGAGGAAAAGTAACTGTATCACATGGGGCCTTGTTCTATTAACTTTATATTGCATAAACCTAAAGTTCAAGTTTAAAATAAAATTTGCATAATTAGTGTCTCTTGTTTGTTATTTTGGCCCAAATGATGCTTGGTCAAATTTTGTCAATTTATGGTAATTTCAACTCTTGTGATTTGACCTTAGATACTGAAATGAGAGATCTCTATTTGAAGCGAATATACCTAGGTAGTATGATGATCAAGATTCTGGGAAATTTTCACCATCAAAAAACAAAGCTAAAACACATAAAAAAAATTTACAGAGGACATCCTAAGAGCATCTGTACCAAATAAGATAATGTAGTTGACTGCTATGATGTAGCATAATATATGGCAAATAATTGATAGTTATTAAATCATGTTTAATAAAATAAGGAATTTTAGGGAAATGTTCTCTCTTGTTAAGATACTCTTGAAAATTTTACCATGCAGGCTTGTAGGAAACACATTTTGGTTCCTGTTAGTAAAAAGCTTTGATTTTCTGAAATACTTTAATAGTAATAATAACATAAAATTTACAGCATATACTTTAGACTCAATTCAGATAGAGAAAGATGAACGAAAAGTTATATCATTATCATCAGACATGAAATGATGTGATATTTATAACAATATTTACAAAAAGAAATAATTAATTGATTCATCACAATTATACAAAAATGCCTTTTAGCATATTTCCATATTTCATATAAAATACATTCACTAGTATACCATTATACACTAAGTTTTACTATCTGTTTTTAACTAATGACTAGTTTCCACATAAGTATTATTTCTTTTTGAGGTCTTTTCACTGAATATAAATATATAATGTGGTGGTTATTTAGGGCTACTCAAAATCCAAAAGTCTCACACATTGTAATCAAATACAACTTAACCAAAATAGCACAATTAAAGAGTATTGTTACTTAGACAATGGAATTCTGAACATATCATAGAAAAGAAGTGAAACAAAGGAAAATAACTTTTAAACAAGTTTGGATTATTATGTATATTTTAAATGAAAGCCCCCAAATCTTAATGATTTTACATCATAGTAATTGAGCATAGATATTGTAGTTGCCTTATTTGTAATTTGATGTACATATTTGTACCATAATATAATGTAGCACTAAAAAATTATTCCAACATAAATTATAAATGTACTATTGGCAATACACAACTAATACCAAAACTAAATATAGAGAAAATATACATGTTAAAATTTTTCTCTAACAAAGGCTACTCCAATAACCTAGGAGCTGAAGTTAGTTTACAACATGACAGATTCCAGGCTGACTTAATCCTTATTTCAAATGGAAAATAATCCACCTCCAAAACTTACCAGAACATAACTGTCTTCAATGTACAAATTCATAAACAGGAGGAAAATTATAAGAACTCCTAAGAATGACACTGTAGAGCGTTTTCGCAAGCATCTCATTTTATCCAGTATTTGAAAAAAATCTTTCATTTGATAAAATTTAATCATTCTCTGCTGTGAAAGAACAGAAAACTGACAGTTAGTTTTGGATAGAATATTTATTCATCATATATGTAAAAAAATCAAGCTTTTATACAATCTCATCCTTCAAATATACAAACTAAAACTCTATTTCCAATTTTATACATAAGATTGACACTCTAGATGATTATATAAATGATATACAGTATATGATATGGCACATATATACTATATGTCAGATACATTAATATAAGGTCAATGTAGTAGTCTATACTGATTAGGGGAATTCAAAAAGTAAAACAAGCCTTATAGTTATTGATGAAGATATTAAATTTGGTAATTATAATATAAAATTGAATATTTAATGAGAAATATGACAAACACAAGAGCAAAACATGTATGTTAACATTTACAGTGAGATGTAACAATAAAGTAAACATCTATCTCCCATATTATAATATAATGAAAAAAAGAGAAATATAAGATGAATATTAATCTCAGAATAGATGATGCTGAAAATATTTAATAGTTAATCTGGGTAAAAAAAAGTCACAAAAGAGGTTAAGGTTTGGGGGTAAGCAAAAATATTTAAGAATTTCTAAGTGGATGCACATTGAGGCGATACTCTTAAGTGAAATAAATAGGACACACATGTATAAGTACCGAATAGTTTCTCTGGTGTGAGAAACTGAAAGTGTAAAT